AGGGGTCTTTTTGAGACAGTATCTCCCTGTAGCCCCAGCTGGCCTGGAACTCGCTATGTACACCAGGCTGGTCTCGAACTCAGAGATCCACCTGCCTCTGCCTCCCAAGTGCTGGGATTAAAGGTATGTGTCACCACGCCCGGCTTGAGAAAGTATTTTGTATATGGTATCAGCTCCCATTTAACATTCTGCTTGAACCTGCCACTGAGTCTTTAGGCTTGAGCCTCTACCAGATTACCTCCCACACTTGCCTAGCCAAATAGCCAATACAAAGGTCATTTACTTTGACACCTGAAGGTCACAAGGTAGCACTCAGCTAGCCATCGAGACTCAGTAACCAAAACTAAACCTGGCATTTTCTAGGCAAATAGAAAATTGGATGGTTTGGACAGCTGGACAAACTACTAAAGCAAATGGTCCTGGCTCTGGAATTCTCTTTTTTTAAGGTTTATTTTAATTTGTATGTGTGTCTGTGTCTGTGCACACATGCATGCCGGTGCCCTCAGAGACCAGAAAGCCTTAGATCCCCTAGAGCCACACTTACATGCAGCTGTGATCTATCCGACATGGGTGCTCGGAACTGAACTTGAGTCCTCTGGAAGAGTCATAAGCACTCTTAACTGCTGAGCCATCTCTCCAGCCTCTGTATCTGGAATTCTTAACCTTTTGAAAATACTATTTCCAAAGCTTCAGATCCAATGTCTTTATCAAGGAATCTCCTGCCTCTCCTGACTGTCCCCTGCCAACAGTATATCTGTACATTCAAAACAAGCTCCTTGAGAACAAGAGGCACCTCTGACTGCATACAGTGTCACACTGGGCAAGCCCAAATGTCTAAATGTCTCATCTACCCTATCTCTAGAACTTTGGTATGGAATATATATATAGTCTTTGCCTAGGTGTTACTTTCTAGCATGCCAAGGATGCCTCAACTAGCAACAGAAATGTAAGCAACAAGAACGATTCCTTCCAAAGGTCCTTATGTAATTCTCATTTATAATCTGAAACAAACTAAGCCATCCCCTCACCTTTCGTCCAATGACCCTCCTCTGTCATTACACTTTATCATCAAGCAGTCTGAAGTTGTGAATAAGCAGTGGGCATGGCTAAGGGGAGAATGTGAGCCGATGAGTTCCAACCCCAAACCGCTACACAAACTACAACAAACCCATGAAATTCTTAGAGATTATTTTCTCACCTGTAAGATGATACAACACCCGCTTGACAAAAGTGTTGGGAATAAATGAGATACTGCGTATATAATACCTAGCACATAGTAACTATTCTCTATGTACATATAGTTACTATATAAATGTATTACTGAGCTGGGTGTGGTGGTGCACACCTTTACTGCCAGCACTTGGGAGGTAGAGGCAAGTGGATCTCTGTGAGATCAAGGCCTGCCTGATCTACATAGCGAGTTCCAAGCCAGCTGAGGCTACAGGAAGACCCTGTATCAAAAAGAGAGAGAAAAAAAAAAAAAGCTTCCTGGTGGGATAAATGCTCATTAGGACAATGTCACTAGACCAGTGTTCTATGCATTCACAAAGTCTGTTGTGATGACTGGGACACACAAAGTGGGATGGGAAAAACCAAACCAAACTCATCTCTTCCTCACCCTGGATGAGATTATCACATAGTCCTTGATGGTCCCTGGTATACTCTCTCAGTCACCCTTCAGGATAAAGTCACCCTTCTGCCAATCCACGTATTTCAGTAAAGCCTTTTTATTATAGTCGACAGAAGATCAAGGGATCCTGTATTATCACCTTGAGATTGCCTCTAAACCCTTTTGTAAATTTTACTTAATACCCAAACTTAGGCAGCCATGGTGGTGCACACCTTTAATACCAACACTCAGGAGGCAGAGGCAGGTGAGTTCCAGGCCAACTGGGTCTACATAGTGAATTTTAGGCCAGCCAGGGCTATATAGTAAGACCTTATCTCAAATAATAAATACCAAACTTAAATTCCCAGGTCATCAGTCTCTGCCCTACCCTGGATGAGAGCTATCACATAATCCCTAATGGTCCCTAGTTGCAGATCTAGTGTACAACTTTTGTCTAAATTGAATTTGATGATTTAATAAAAGGAACTGGGCCCTTTCTTGATTAGTTAAACCTACACTTTGATTACACTGATAACTGTATTTAAACAACCATCTCAAACTAAAAAGTAAAAAAAAAAATGAAATATTGTACTGTGCAGTAACTTAAGATTAAATGTGAGTGGGTCCCCCAAGGAGTATTATAGATGTATCAGATGCACACAAGAATACATGTGGATCGGAGTAGCAGATGGGAGGCCTTTGGAAGGAAATTCAGTGAGGGATCTAACTCCACTCATTAGATCAGTGTACCCATAGCTTAGATGTGTCTCTCTCCACACAAGACTGGCCATTTAAGCTCTGCCTGATTGCTTACCATCCACATTTGTTTCAGGGATACAAATTTGGACTTCACTATTATTATACATGGGCAGAAGAGTCTCTGATGGGAGACTGGGACTTGCCTCATTATAAATGCTAACAGCAACAAACTTTCTTTAGTCTCTCTCTCTCTTCCCTTAAAATACACACACACACACACACACACACACACACACACACACACACACTTATGCTCTCGTTGGCTTGTAACTGGGCCACACCCGCCTCATTATAAATGCTAACAGCAACAAACTTTCTTTAGTCTCTCTCTCTCTTCCCTTAAAATACACACACACACACACACACACACACACACACACACGGAACCAGGGTGTCTGCAGGATGAATTCCCAGGCCATAGCAACTGCAAGGCCTTGGGATGGAAGTGCTAGAAGAGGCTGGCTGGCCTGACAGTAAGCCTTTAATCGAAGGAGCCGGCAAGCCTGGCCTCCCGCACACAGCCCAGTCATGAAAACAGACTCTTTTTTGTTTTTGTTTGGTTTTTTTTAGCTAACCATCTCCATCCCTCCCCACAGGGCAGGATGAATTCCCAGGCCATAGCAACTGCAAGGCCTTGGGATGGAAGTGCTAGAAGAGGCTGGCTGGCCTGACAGTAAGCCTTTAATCGAAGGAGCCGGCAAGCCTGGCCTCCCGCACACAGCCCAGTCATGAAAACAGACTCTTTTTTGTTTTTGTTTGGTTTTTTTTAGCTAACCATCTCCATCCCTCCCCACAGGGATAAAAGGCACGACGAGTTTATGACGGATCAAGGATCTGAATTTAAATTTTCTTCCACCTAATTCCCCACTTGGCCCCAATACTGGAAATAAGGGGAAGTTCAGGGTAAGTTTTGGGTCAGGAATGATGTCAGGCTTTGGCCGGATTAAGTGATGGGGGACTACGCACAGGGAACGCCCCAGAGTTGGGTGCTGAGGGAGCCTACATAATTCTGCATGGTGACTTGCCTAAACACAGGTAAAAGAGAAATAGGAAAGACTGGAGAAAATTAATCCTCATTTATGTAGCTCTCTTTCCCTTCCCCCTCTCCTGGACAGCCAGCACACAGGCTGGCTCTGAGCTGGCGCTTTGAAGGCGCCTGAGTGGGTCTATGGTTCCTTTTTTTTTTTTTTTTTTTTTTTTTGGCGTGCAAAAACCGGGACCCACACGAGCCAAGAGGGAGGAAAGATGGAAGGGAGGATGGAGGGAGGAAGGGGCCGCCAACTCCCTGCTCCGGAATGCCCCGCGCGCGCGGAAGCACGCAGCGGTCTCTGGCGTCCGGCGCGCACCGGTCCTACAGTCTCCACTGCAGTAGCATCCGGACATGACACTGCAGCTGCGACAAAGCGGCGACCGCGGCGGGTCTCTTGCAACCCACACCGCGCTGGGGCCCCGCATCACGCCGAGGGGCCGGCGACCGGGGATGCCCTGGTGACGCTAGGTGTGGAGGTGCAAGGTAGGCCGAGCTCTCAAAGGCGCAGGACGCTCCGGCGACCACCTCCAGCAGATGGCAAGAAAAACAATTCGCCTTCATTCTCCAGCCGTAGCTCAGCCACAGACACCCCCTAGGCACCCCTAAATGACCTAGTGGGGGGCACTCCCGGGTCTTGCCATTCCCTTAGAACCCTTCCAAACCAGCTGGTACCGCCGCGCGCCTCCCGCACTCCGGGCCCGGGGACCCGCCCCGCTCCGGGACATCTGCTCCTGCGCAGCCACCACCCTCCAGCCCCTTTCATCGCTCACCAAAAGAACGGAGCCGGCGATCATCGTGGCTCCGACGTGGCCGGCGATGCGGCTGCAGGAGGCGCGGGTGGTGCTGCTGCTCGCGGAGGTCCCCATGGCCGAGCCCGGGGCTCGCACGGGCGCCCGGGGCGCGCGGCCCCACGGCAGCTGGTATCGGCGGCTGCTGCTGCCCAGCGCCTCATCCACCGTCTCCTCCTGGGCGCGGAGCCCATCTACCTCCAGCAGCCCATGTGCACTGCGGCTGCTGGGCGGCCGGGCGGAGGAGCGAAGCGGCGAGGAAGGCTCGGGAAGGCACTCAGCACCTGCCCAGGGGCGCGGGCGCCCGGGCGGCGACCAGCATCCGCGCGTGCAGCCGGCGCCTCCCGATGCTCTCCACCGACAGTGGCTGCGGGGAACCGGGGAGGAGGGCTGGCGGCGACAGAGCAAAGGAACGACTTCCCATAGCGAAGCCACTACTAACCACCCGGCTGCTCCTCCGCTGCTCTGACCGGCCGGCAAGAGACTGAGTCGGGTGGCCGCTCAGCTCGGGGACACACGTGGTGGCGCCGAAGGGGCGGGGAACCGGCCCTTTGTGATGTCACCCCGGAGGAGGCCGGGCTCTTTGTGCAACTGGAAAGAGCAAGCCGTTCCAGATACACAGCGGAGGGAGAAGGTGCCCCTTGGCGTTGGATGGGGGAATTGCATGAGCTTGTCTGCCTAGGGAGTCTGGTACTCGCCCGACCTAACTTTTTTTTTTTTTTTTTTTTTTTTTTTTTTGTAAAATGAGTCCTAATAAATCGCATGTGGAGCAGAGACCTTTCTAATTTTCTAAAACAAAGATTAGCGAATAGATCGTGATGAATAGGGCATGATGGCACACACCTATGATTTCATCAATAGAAAAGATGAGGCAGGAGGATTAGGAATTGGAAGAAAGCCTGAGCTACAGAGAGAAACCCCGTTTCAGGAATGCTTGAATGCATCCATGCATGCATACATGCATGCGTGCATGAATGAATGAATGAATGAATGAATGAACGTACAGTCAGCAAACTGGGCAAAATGGAGCGTTTGAGTATTCCGGAGGCTGAGACAGGAAGCTCTCCCGTTCCAAATCCGCCAGAACCAGAGTTCCTCGGGAGCCTGGCTTAAGCAGCAAAAACTTTCTCAAAAAAGAAAAAAAAATACAAATAAACAAACAGGAGAAAACAAACAACCACAGAGCTTATATCAACTGCCTGGCACAAAGAGACTTGGGTGCTGATTTTGAAACTGATGAACTTTGGCGTTGCCTGGAGTTTTTAAAATGTGCTTATTGACTCCTGGGTCCCTCTCCAAAGATTCCGATTTAATTGGAACAGGGTGAGGCCTACCATGGGTGTAGGGATTTTTACAAAGTTTCCCAGCTGACTTTAGTACTTGGTAAAGTTTGAGACCCTGTGGTCTAATGACTGCAGCTATGGAGAATTAAGAACCCCCAACCTGCAGTGGCTGGTATTGGATCTGCGGATAGTCTTCTAGAGGCCTTTAAACTCCTTGAAATTTGTGGATGGATGCATTTTTCATTATTAAAGGATCCAGAGTTTAGAATCACCTTATCACAGAGATGCAAAATTTTCATTCCACCTCCCCAGCCACCCATAAAAAAAGTGATAAAAGTTTTGGTGTTGAGTTCAAAATGTCTTGGTGGAATGTGGGTGAAGAGATGGGAAGTGGCACTCTGTTTCAACAGTAACAAGTAAGCCAGGCATGGTGGTGGATGCCTTTAATCCCAGTACTTGAGAGGCAGAGGCAGGCAGATCTCTGTGAGTTGGAAGCCAGCCTGGTCTCCAAAGTGAGTTCCAGGCCAACTGGGGGTACAGGGAGACCTTGACTCACAAAGACAAAAAAAAAAAAAAAAAAAAAAAAAAGAAAGAAACAAGTATTCTGTTGGATGCTTGGCATCAACCACACTGCTGGATGTCTAAATATTTCTTTCCCTTTCCCATCTCACCTGAGGCAAGACAGCACTTCCTAACTATAGCCACTACACACTGACTGCACCTACATGCCATACAGCGTATTACGCACTCTAACGGAACTGTGATCCAGGTCATGCCCCAGTTGGGCAGCTGTTTCCACCAAACTTAAGCATTCTGTCCTGGAGGGAGGAGAGGAAGAGGCGCCTGTAATTTACAAGGTGCAGGAAGGTTATACCATTTACCAGGTTCAAAGAGCTAGGAAATCTACAAGATTCACAAGGTCCCAGGGTTATATAAGCAGTTAACAATTACTAGGGAAAACACTTCCTGAGTACAAGCTTCATGCAGGTTGTGCAACTAGCTGCAGAGATGCAGCATTCATGGGTCATCACTGATGCTGGGGTGGGATTTTTTTGGTGATACAGCTTGCCTTTGAAGTAATTGTTAGTTTGGTCTGTTATCAGTGTTCTTTCTGGGGGTGAGTAGAAGTTTGTTAGTGTCTTTCCAGGACAAATCACACAACTCCTCAACTATGAACTTCATGATGCTGGGCTAGAATAAGCCCAGCATCACATCCATGTTTTTCAGCTATCTGCTTTGAGACAGTGATGATTAATACTGATTGTTAACTTGACAGGGACCTTGAATCACCTAGCAGGTAAACCTCTGGGCATGTTTGTAATGGAGTTTCTAGATTAGGGTAATTGAGATGGGAGGATCCACCCTAAATGTGGGTGGCCCCACTCCATGGGCTACAGTCTCAGACTGAAAATAAAGGAGGAAGCAAACAATCCCAGGATTCATCTCTGTCTCTCTGCTTCCTCACTGTGGACTGGAACTCACTACGTAGACCAGTCCCACCACCTTCCCTGCCATGATGAACTATACCCCCTTGAACTCTAAGCCAAAGTAAACCCTCCCCAAAGTTGCTTTTGTCAGGTATTTGATCACAGCAACTAGAAAACTAATACAGAAAAAACTAATAAATAACTAATAATATAAGTAATAAAACTAAAAAACTAATACAGAAAATTGGTATCAAGAAATGGGAACAAGCCAGGTGTGGTGGCAGCAGGCCTTTAGTCCCAGCGCTTGGGAGCCAGAAGCAGGTGGATCTCTGTATGTTCAAGGTCAGCCTGGTCTACATAGCGAGTTCCAGGCCAGCTGGAACTACAAGGAGACCCTGTCTCAAAAAGATCAAAAATAAAAAAAGGTAACATTGCTGTAATAAACCTGACAGAGTGATTCTTTCTTTTTGGAACTAGTGTATGGAAAGAAGAGTTTGGGGCTGTGGGCTAGAGAAGACCTAGTAAGCAGAGCTCCATCTTCGTGGGCATTCAGAGAACTCGAATGCCAGAAGAAATGTGGACAGTGGAGGCCCAGCTCATGTGGTTGCAGAGAGGACCAGGACTTCGTCTGGAACTAAGTTAGAGGCTGTTCAAGTTATGAGACAAAGAATTTGACGGCATTCTGTCTGTGTCCTGAGAACCTAAGTGAGGCTGAATTAAAAAATAATGGACTAATGTATTTAGCAGAGGAAATTTCAAGACAGGAAGGAATGGCTGCTGCTTACTGCTTTTATCCAGGTCTACAGGGAGCTAGAGCAACGAGAGGAGCAGAAAAGTATGAAAAATACTTCCATTTGGCAAGGAAAGAAAGAAGTTTAAAGTTCTATAAGGTGGGGGTTGCTGAGAAAGCATCCATAACTGTCAAAGCCAAATCCTCTACTCTCTACTGGGACAATAAGAGAAGTGCAGTGACTCTAATTGAGTTTAAGGTCTGCTTCATAGGATGGAGCTCAAACCTGACACTGATATCAGGCTTAGGAATCTGGGGCTAAACAGGTCACAGGACACAGGGAAGAGCCTAATACTAGTTTCCTACTAAATAGTTATCGTATCAAACTGACTCCTGATGACTTATTGTTGTATAACGCATCTCTCAGATTTCACCAGAGAAGCTTCCTTATGCAGCAAATGGTGATTAACACAGAAACCCATAACTGGCCAATGTGCAGAGAATGAGATGCTATAAAGTGCTTATGTCTGAATAGGACACCTATATCAAACTTCTGCCTCCCAAGACTCAGGGATCATTGCCGAAGAGGGGGTGGAAAGACTGTAAAACCCGAGGTGGTGGATGACCACAAGGAAATAGAGTTTTCCAGACAGCTGGTCAGTTACTCATATGAACTCACAGAAATGGTGACAGCATGCCCAAGGATTGACATGGGGATGTGGGTAAGAACTCCCAACACAGCCTAAGGAAATTGTGGCAATTGATGGCTGCTGGGAGGAAGATAGTCTCCTTCAAGGATGGGACTCCTGGTAGGGTAACCAGGCTCCAGGGGATGGACCCACACAGAAGGACATTTGGAGACACAAATTAAATTCCACAGGGCTTATTATATATAATAGAGTACATTAAATTGTACAGGGGGCAATGGGAGAGGTGGGGATGGGGAGGAAATCCAAATACCATCTAAAAATTTCAAAATTTCAATAAAAATATTTTTAAAAATTAAAAAAATTTTTAGAAGTTACAGTGAAAACATCACCATCAAAGATTCTGTCTTCTGAAAGTGCAATTCATTTGAAAGGAGAGAGCTTGAATTGAGAATGTCCTTGAACAGGTTCCCTGCTCCAAAGCAACCACCTCGAGAGGATTCCCCCAGGGTTAGCACGCAGAGCTGATGCAACTGTGGTCCAAGAGTGTCAGGCTACATCCTGAGCTCGGGGCAGAGCTTGGCAGCATTGTCCAGGTGGTACTGGTTTTGTAGTCATGAAAGATGCAGGAATAAGGGGGTCATGGTGGTTTACACCAAGGTTCCAGAGAGGCCAGGCCATATGTGGTAGGGGTGGGCCCTTGCAAGGAGGCTCTGAGAAGACAGTATGTGAAGCTGTGAAAATAAAGCCTAAGCTGCACTGGGGAAGCCATGAGACACCTACTGCAGTTACAGAGTGGAACTGGCTTGGGGAAGCTCTGTGTGCTACAACAAGCAGAGCAGGAGGTAGTACTACTCAAGCCCGTTGGATCCCAGATGACCGCACCAGGACCTCTGATGCCAGGCGTGGAGCTGTAGGACTTGGTGTTTTCTGTGTTTGGTGTTGGTCTTCCTTGGACCTGATGATTCTTTGAGATATCCCCATTCTGCCTTTGAAATGAGAATATTTACTCTATGCCTTTGTATCTTGGTATTATGTAGCTTGCTTTTTGTTGTTGCTTTGTTTTTTTGGTCTTGGGGTTTTTTGTTTGTTTGTCTTTTTGAGAAGGTCTCCCTGTAGCCCCAGCTGGCCTGGAACTGACTATGTAGACCAGGTTGGCCTTGAACTCACAGAGATCTGCCTTTCTCTGCCTCCCAAGTACTGGGACGAAAGAAAGGCATGTGCCACCATGCCCGGCTTGTTGTTTTGGTTTTTTTAAATAGGAGCTTACAGTTAAGAGATCACCTTGAGAGCCAGGCACAGTGGCACACACCTTTAATCCCAGCACATGGGAGGCAGAGGTAGGGGATCTCTCTGAATTCAAGGCCAGCCTGGTCTACATAGTGAGTCCCAGGCTGGACAGTGCTATATAGTGAGACCTTGTCTGAAAAAAATTAAAAATCACCTTGAGTCTCAAAAGAGACTCTTGGACTTTTGAACTTCTGAACAGTGTTGAAACTGTTAAGGACTATGGAGAACTTTGAAGTTAGACTGAGTGCATTTTGTGAGATGGCCTTGAGTTTAAGGGGACAAAGAGTGGAAGATTATGCATATGTTTATACATCAAGT